GCACCGCGGCCGCCCCGGCCGTCGGCGAGGGCCTGAAACCAGCCCAGCCGCCCCACGTCCCCCATGGATGGAGCATCCAAGCAGCAATTGCAGTGCAAGGGTGAAGCTTCCCAAATCCTTTCCAACATGGAAAGACCTGGTTTTTTTTTTTGCAGGGCATCAGCCCTGGCAGCCCCCGACCGCAGCCGCTCGGAGCAGCAAGGCCCGCAGGCTGCTGGGTGACGAGCTGGGACCGGAGCCGCACTCGGCTCTTGGGTGCCTTCCTGGCCAATCTGGCTGGAATGTGCTGGCATCCCAACTCCCGGCTCTCCAGGCCGCCCTTGGCTTGGGTTTCGGCCGGGGCAGACGGGTTCATGGTCCCAGTGCTCCCTGCATCCCGCAGGAGCTGAGGATGGATGGGCCGCTCCTGTCCCTTCCAGGCTTGCTGATTTATATCACAACATTGCTGTTTTTTTCTATGGCATTCGCAAGGCATCTTGCTATAGCTCGTATCCATAGGGAAGCAGGTGAAGACTGCCCGTGCCCAGGATCCCACCCTGGGGGAGCGTGGAAAGAGCGAGGCCGGAGATGGAAGGGGAGGAGCCAGTGAAGGCAGCGAAAGCGCCGTGGGTGCGGAGCATGGAGCGCGGCGCGGGGACTCACTCTGCACGTGGAAGACGCCGACTTTGTCAGCGTCCGAGGCGGCCACGTGGAGGACGATCTCGTAGCCGCGGGGCAGCTTCTGGGGGCCGCTGGTCCTCAGGACCATCCGAGACATGTCCAGCAGATCTGGGTGGAAACAGGGCCCGGGCTGCTGGGGGGGTGTCCTGGGCCCCCCGCTGCCCTTGGAGCTGGGCACCCCATTTCCATGCTGGGATGGGCTGGTTCCTCCCCGGCTCTCCCAGTCGGGATCGGTCTCCTCGTGCGCTGGCCGAGTGCCCAGGCCTGGCCGGGCTCGTACCCGGGCTTTGAAAGGCGCCTTTTTATTCCCACAGCTCCATTCCTGGCATCGCAGAACCAGCTGGCCCGGGCGTCACGGGGTTTTTTCTTTCTGTTTTTCCCCTCTGGCTCCAGTACTGAAGCAGCTCCCCATCACGGGATGCCAAAACGGAGCCATTCCAACCCACAGAGACCCAAGGCAGGTGCATTAAAATGGCAAGGTCCCTCCGCAAAACCTAAGATTTAGATTTTAGCTGAGATTTAGACTGTAGAAATCACCTCTGGCCTTGCTGTCCTGTTGCCCGATTCTTTCTGTTTTTCCCCTCTGGCTCCAGTACTGAAGCAGCTCCCCATCACGGGATGCCAAAACGGAGCCATTCCAACCCACAGAGACCCAAGGCAGGTGCATTAAAATGGCAAGGTCCCTCCGCAAAACCTAAGATTTAGATTTTAGCTGAGATTTAGACTGTAGAAATCACCTCTGGCCTTGCTGTCCTGTTGCCCGAGGGCAATTCAAACACCCTGCCCGGGCTGGGGCCGCTCGGGGCCTCCTACCCTCCTTGTTGAACACGCGCTCGTCGGCGCAGTCCGGCGCGGCGGCCAGCGGGCTCTCCCGGTCGCAGTTCACCAGCAGGATGGCGCCCTGGCCCTCGGGTCCCCATGTCCAGGTGGCCTAAGGAAACGCAGCGGCCTCGGCTCGGCGGGCGGCCGGGGCGACGCTCCCGCTGCCCAGCGTCCCGCCGGCCTCTCGGGTACCTTGTGCGGGTTGTTGTCTTCCACCACTCCGTCCCGATCGGCGGCGACGTCCAGCGAG